TCCTACCATTATATGTTGAAAATATACTATGTCTTTTCTATGATGTGGACATTTCTGTTTCATATACTTCATTTTCACAAATGAATATTTATCTCTTATTTGATCGTACATTATCTAAAAATAAAACAATTAAAGTATTTTTATAAAATCTCATGTTTCAAAACCAGGACCCAAGTGTATCATATACACAAGTGTTTTCATATTCTCACTGAAATATTAGAATTGTGTTTGTGATTCATTATTTGATACACTTTGACCCTGATTTCACAGTAGTAAGTAAAACTGAAATATACATATTTTACGTTTGAATATTATATCTAGTTTTATATTAGATCATGTGATCAAAATCATGTCCAAAGCACATTTTCTGAATATAGAAATATTAAAATATTAAAAAGTTTATTTAAAAAACTCTCTCTGAAAAGCAACAATACAGTATGTTTTTTTTTAAGTCTTTTTACTGTGAAAACATATTTCATATGTCCAAAATTAATTCAGTTCAATTATATTTGTGATCATATTTGTGATGATTTTGTTGCATTTGTGATAATCTTGAGATTGAATATCCATTTTAAGTGTTACAGAGAACAAGATATAGGAAAAGATCATAAATGCTGCAAATCATTTAAAATATGCAAGATCCTGTGCTGAAAATTTGTTCATGTTAAATCACTGCATGTTTAACCAGACTAACAGTTTGTAACAGACTTGAATTGTAACCATGTGATCCAAACTACTGCTCTTGGGAGGAAGAGAGCGATAGTTTTATAATGCCATATATTATATAACTTTACTCTTTAGCAACTAAATCAAACCGACTATGCAACCAGTTTATCACCTTGGCAATCGGTTCAAAGCTGTTGGCTGTTGGTCTCAAAAAATAAAATGACATTTAAAAAAGCAAAATCACTTGATACCCAGTGATTAACATGCATTTCCATTGTAGAGAAAAAATTGTTTGATATGTTTATAATAATATAATATCGAAACATCTTTAAAACAACATTAATTTACTTGAGAGGCAAGATTAAGACTTGTTTTCAGATATTAGCATTTTTTAATAAACCATTAGAAAATTGTTTTTCTTGTTTTAAGCATTAATAGGTTTGGTATCACTGAGAGTATTAAAGTTTTTATTAATAATTAGAATGTTCTATTTTTATATTTTAGTTTGTTCTGGTAATTTTGTGTTTTTGTCATTTTTGTTCATATTGTTTATATACGTAGTTTGCATTCATTTTATTTCAGTTTTAGCTTTGGTTATTTTAGTACATCAAGATAAACTAAATTAAAATGTCGTTTTTTATATAAGTTTGTTTATTTCAAGTAACAAAAACTGTTCAGTTTAGTAAATATAATAACTATGATAATAAAATAAATATACAGTCAAGATACAGTATATTCTCTTACATTTTAAAACAAGACAAAAATTGCAATAATAGTTTTTTTCTTCTTCAGTAAATGTAATTATCAAAGATACAGGTTTTTCGACGTCCACTATGCTCTAAGATCTGTCTTACAATTTAAAGAAGCCAAAACATGATCATGGTAATTTGTATGAGATGATGAAAACATTCAACTTCCATGGTTTTTCTCTTATTAGGTTCTGCTTTGGTTTAGGCATATTTGCTCCATCCCATATGAATGCTCATGAGGGAGCGTTAAAGGTGGAGCAGCCCAGAAGACAAAGCTGGTGTTAATGACAGAAACACATACTTTCATAACCTGTCCAGACCCTGTCAAGACAGCCTTTATAGCATCTCTTCATCCTGGACAATTCAAAGGTTTCCCAAATCTCTCGAGAGCAATGTTCGGCACTCACTCGGTTGGCTTTTCCACTTCCATGGCTTTGATTTCACAATTGTTGTCCAAGTCTCGGGCAGCATCCAGATGAGCAAACGATGGATGTAATTACCTAATGTACTTGCATACTTTGGGGCTGAATATGTGAATGAAATGTCACCACATTGAGCCAGCCAAAAAACAAGAAAAATCTACTTTTTTTCTATAAGGCATTTTTATAGATTTTTTTGTCACTTTAAAGTAAACATAAAATAGCATTCGCAACCCTTTTGTGTCCGTAATGTGACGTTGTTCAGGAAAACACGATGTTCCAAAATAAAACGTACACTCATAATACACCCCATAATACACCCCATCTATTGGGGCGGTACCCTAATGTACTAAAGTTAAAAGGTACATCTTTTTACCTTATTTAACCTTAAATGTTACATATTAGTACCTTAGCAGGTTTGGGGAAAGTTACTTTTATAAGTAATGTGTTACAATATACTCCCTAAAAAAGTAACTAATTGTATTACTTAGTTACTTTTTGTAGAAAGTAATGCATTACGTTACTGTTGCATTACTTTTTCTCATCTGGAAACTTGCTTGTTTGTTTTTAATACAAAAAACTAATATTTTTGACAAATATAAATGCCTTTCACACCAAAAGTGAAATGAATAAGCCTCAAATAAACCTTTCAGCTGTGCTGCCATTCTGGATTTCACGAAGAATAGGATGCAAGAGGAGAAAGTTCAACACTCTTTAGCAATTAAAGAAAGAAAGACAAATGTTATGTTTATCTAAAGTCATTTTTACTTATTAGAATGGTTTAATTGGATCATGGAAAGTCAGCAGCAAAGACATTGGTAAATAAAATGGGATTAGCCTAAATACATCAAATATAAATACAATACAATAATTGTTGTGCTATTAACATTTAATTATTGCAGGTTTGCATCATATTCTAAATTTGCATTTCACTGTTTTTATTTATTGTATTTGAAGAATACCGAATCTGTTTTTGTCCAAATGAGATCAGTAAATGCATGTTCACATTTAGTCTAGAACTACAGTTTACACAGCGCTCACAATGCCTCTGCACTTACTCCCGATTTCTCTCAACATGAGGACAGGAGAGCTGTCAATAATTGGGAAAACAAAGTAACAGGAGTTAGGTATTTGAGAAAGTAACTCGGGTATTTTCTTATGAATTAAAAAGCAATGCGTTACGTTACTAGTCACTTGAAAAAGTAATCTGATTACGTAACTCTTGTTACTTAGTACTTTAAAAGTACATATTATTACCTTTTGAAATAGTACCACCCTAGTAAATGTTTGGTATGTTTGCAGGGCTGTGCATTTTATAGAAAATCTTGTAAAAATTTATATTTTACATTCCACCCCATTTATTGAGATGTAGAAAGCAGTATTGTATCTGTGGTTGGGCTTTTCTATTGCTGCCTAAAGCACATGGAATCAGCTCATTTCTGTGTTTATTATCGCACACCATCAGTTCACATTGAATCTATTTGTAACATCTGGGCCCTTCCTTTGGAAGAATCTTTGGAAAACAATGTTTACCAGTACATGATTTTGTTATGAGCATTTGCTTCAAAGGTCAGAAGGTTGGAAGTCTAAGAAGTGAGAAGTCGTCTAAAGAGAAAACAGGTTTCCTAATGGGCAAATGTGATTTTAAAGGGGTCATATGATGTGATTTCAAGTTTTCCTTTCTCTTTGGAGTGTTACAAGCTGATTGTGCATAGATAAGATCCCTGAAGTTGCAAAGACTAAAGTCTCAAAACCAAAGAGATATTCTTTATCAAAGTTAAGACTCTGCCACGCCCCCCTAAAACGGCTCGTTCTAACAGAGCGCGAAAGAGAGCGCGAGAGAGAATGTGAGAGAGAGAGAGCGCGAAAGAGCGCGAGAGAGAGCGTGAGAGAGAGAGAGAGCGAGAGAGAGCGCGAGAGAGAGAGAGAGAGAGAGAGAGAGAGAGAGAGAGGGGCACATCACAAACACATACCAGCTTCATCACTGTGTCTGTCACGCGCCTCTGTTCCCCTTTCGGGCTCTGTCTTTACATTTATTTTGAAAGATGAAGCTCGCGATTATGGTAAGGGGCATTACATTTCCGACGAGTAGAGGCGGGGCATAGAGGACCTGCAATAATGTACAGTATTTGAAAAATAATGTGTTTTTTGAACATTAAAGCATGTCAACATATTCTGTTACACCAAATACACAAAATAATGATCTTTAAAAAAGCATCATATGACCCCTTTAAATTCAATGGACAAACTTCAGGGCTCAGAACAATAATTATAGCGTCATCTGCTGGTCAAAATGTTCCTCCCCACTTTAAAAATTCCACACTTCATTTAGACTCTTGATATTGTGCAATTGTACTGAAATTGTTGTTGAAGGTGTAATGAAATGCCTTAAGCGTAACATTGTTCTTAAAACTAGAAGACAGATCAAAAAGCATGCATGCAACAAATCCATATCAAATAAACATCCAAATGCATGTGCTTTTGGATCTTGTAACAATCATACCTGCCCTGAGAGGGAAACAAAGCAAATTCTTCTTGTTTTCTGTGTGTAATTATTGATTATGTCATGTGCCTGCATTGGATCTGATGACATTTGAGTCACAAATTAAAAACAGGCTCTCGTGCATGGGTGAATATTGTTCACATTCCTACCTTTTTATTCAAAAAATCAAAATAACTCTCAGGGTTTTCCCTCGCAAACACGCACAATGTCCCTAAAAAGTATTGGACACTTCATGTCTGAATGTCACAAAATATCAAAGCAAGTGGCATCTGTGGTTTTCTGAGCCTTTTTGTGCAACTGGTGTTTTGGTGATTTATAGTAAGGTAGACCTTCACATTAAATATGAACATGTTCCATTAACGTTTGACAGCCGGACTGTGACAAATGCTTTAATTTGAACTGTATATCTACTGTTTATTTGTTTTTGTTCAGAAAAAAATGTTTCTGACATTCATTCATAAGTGTGAAGTAAGTGCCCAAATATGTTTTCGGGCCACTATACACACACTTGCTCTCTCTTCATACGCATATACTTATCCTTCACCACTTTTTTTTTTTTATGTCGGTCTCTCTCCCTCTGTCCAGTCTGGGCGTGTGGATCCGCCCCTGCTTAATTTTATCATTTCGCCCCTTTCTGAATTTCCCGACTACAAAAGTCTGTCTGACATTTCTCTCTCAGTCTCAGCAGGGGAGCGGGGAATATCTCAAGCCAGCTACACAAAGGGAAAACAGGGCACCCCATTACTCACCAGGACAGGTCAGTTTGTAAATTCCCAACACCGACTCCTGAAGATTACCATGGGTAGTTTCGCTTTTGAATGCACCCTGAAAGAGGATATAAAGAAAAGACGAGATTGTCAGAAACAGGAGGTTGAACATGGTGAGACATGATGAATTGTGATCAAGTGCTACTAGAAATACAGTAAACCGGAACTGTAGCTCTGCTTGTGAACTTTTAAGTGTTTTGTGGGTATTAATATAGAACTTACTGCACTGGAATATAACAGTCCTTCTTGTTTTCTTGGCACATGCTATTTGGCCTATACTACAAAAAAATGACTCTGTTCCCGGCTGGAGAAGTGGTTTTGCGCAAAATCTATAGGTTATAATTTTAACTACCATTAAAGTGCTCTGATAGATGTTTTTTGTATGTTGTAACATAAAGGAATATTTTACGCTTCCGTTTGTTTTACGTCTAATTTCTGCGCATGTACACAACGTTTTGAGCTTCAGTTTGGTACAATTTGACCTTTCAAAGATAATTCATAAAGGCTAGTTTTGTCTAATTTTTTTTTCTCTCTGTTTGTTTGTTTATGGGTTTGAAATAGCACAAGCCTTTAAAGATTGAACATCCAGTTTTGTGTATGGCTAATTCTGTTTGTGTACGTATGTGATTATTACTAAATCTGCAGCTTTATGTTTTTGATGTTTGTGTTTGAAACTATTGTCTCGTGCAGGGTGAAGTCTTAATATGAATCCGTCATTGTTGCTGTGCTGTGTGCTGCTCTGTTTAGCCTGCTGTGTTACGGTACATACACACATGATTATGGAGGAACAATACAGCTCCAACCAAACAACCATCAGCTTACACGCAAATAACCAAACAGATGCACTTTCTGTGCTCATAGTCGGTAAGGCTTCTTTCTCTTACAGAGAAACTGTTCGAAACAAATCATCATCATTCTTAATCAAGAACTGTAAAAATGGTCAACAGAAACTTCTAGCTAAGTGCCAAGTTGTTTTTTTAATCGCATCAGTATGAATGTATCATTCTCTATTTTACACTTCTTTATGTTACTAATTTAGAAACATTCAACTTAAATGATGTATGTTCTAATGTATTTGTTTTCCGCTATCGAAGGGCTTTCAAAAACACCTAAGAAGAACAAGAAAACGGAAAAGAAACCAAAAAAGGTTTGTAAAGTTATATATTCATTTATGGTTACCACTTTAATACAATTGTCCACACAAATAGAATCATGAGAAGCTGCAAAATCACACAAAAACAACAACAAAAAATTCTGTTAGGGTGTTTAATTTAGTTTATGGTGATTTAAAATATTTTTAAAAATAATATGCTGCTAAGTACAAACTGTTCACATATTTATTCAGTCTACCGCCTTGTATCAGTCTTAAAATATCTGAATTTCAGGATGATAAAATTCAGTATTTATTTATTGATCTGTACGTCTATTTAGGGAAATATAGATATATGTTTATTAAAATTGAAATAGCTGTCTTGGATTTAGTATAGCATTCTGTGGCGGAAATTACTTTTTAAATATTTTTGGAGGTTATGTAGACCACTCCTTTGTTTTGCTAAGGCTAATTTCATAGCTAGCATTTTACACAATTAAACAACATTTCTCCACTTTTAAAACACGACAAAATTGCTCGGAAATTACGTGATATTTACCAGGATCTTGTTTTCTTCGCACATCACGCGTCAGGCTCTTCTCTGGCACCTTTGTCTCCTTGGAAACCAAGTAGCTAACGGTTGATAACAAAAGTTTATTTACAGACACATTAGTTGGACGTGCTGAAAACGATGCCTTAACTAGGGTACGGTGGTAATTTGTGCTCAAATGTAAAGCATTTTCGCTCCGTGTTAATCATTGGCTCATGTTTACTTTGTTACTTTCAATAACAAATATAAAATAACCTTCATTTGGTATGTGTTTCAGAAATTCAGCAACCATGTGAAGAGACCTCCGCCGCCGCCGAACTGCGTGCCGCTCTGGAGCAGCTGCAAGACGACCAACGCGGTGTGCTGCGACCAGTGCGCCTTCTGCCACTGCCGCCTGTTCAAGACCGTCTGCTACTGCCGCATGGGTAACCTGAAATGCTGAACACCCCCTGCCCTGAAAGGAGGAGGATGGGACTGTCCCGATCCCAAAGGCTTGTTTATAAAACCCTGTGGGATTAGGACAACCGAACATCAGTGCACTCCATCATATAATCGGAGATTTTCTGGCCAGATATTATACCTACTGCTCGTCACAAACGCTCGGGAATAAGGAGAAGAGCCACCTGGGTGATTACCGAAGTACTTTATATTTTAATTCAATGTATATGTATTTTTAAAATGTTCGCGTTAATGAAGAGTAAGCATTTTATGGAAAAATGTTAAAGCATCCGGTTCTGACCTGCAACCTGTTTGAGCTGCTGTAAACAAAAAAGGGATCCACCAGAAAAGGGGAAATCACCATGACAACCACAGTTGCCGCCAAATAGTTGTTGGTGTTTACTACAGTAAAACCGCCAACGCTCTCGACAATAAATAAAAGAAAACAAAAAAAAAACATATAACTAAATAAAACGACAGATTCAGAGAGCTTATTTAATACGAGTATTTTACAGAAAGAAAAAAAAAACGTTTTGGCGAACCTATGTCTGTATAATTTGGTGAAGACTTTGGTTGTAATGGTAATTGTTTAAAACTAATGGGGAATATTTTTGTTGAAAGACAAAGTAGATGAGTAGATATAGTTCTTGGGTCGATTTAAAAAAATGACGTTTCTGTACATTCATGTATATATTTCGTCTGAAAATTGTAGATGCAATGTCTGATTATTATTGATTCAAGCAATGAATGACTCAAGACCAATATCCAATGTAACAACTCGGGAAAAACGATCTCGCGCTTTTCATTGTAAAAATAAAAAATAACATTGTAAATTAATATAATAAAGAATTAAACGTGTAATTTGTCTACTGCATTCTGATTTATCAAAATGCTCTTGCTAGCTTTTTAGTATTTTTTTTTTTTAAGTTTGAGTACAGAATTCCCCAAAATTATAAATATAGGCTACTGTATATAAGTTGGGAGAATTCTGTATATACTCTATATACTTTATATACAAAAATATATAATTTTGGGGAATTCTATAATATGTAATTCTATATTTGGGAAATGTATATATTTAGTATTTTATATATATTCCTCTAAAGCTTGCTACTTGTGGTGCAGACCTCTTTTCTCAAAAGTCAGCCGAGTTATTTCCCTGCATATGTTATGTAGTAGTAGGATTCAGGGAAACCACTGTAAAGTCCTTGAATGGAAACCGTAAGACAGTAGGCCCATGAAAGAAACAAGACTTTGAGATGTAAAGGCAACTGATAGACTTAGCTTAAATTACCCTAAAAAAAAACTTTAAAAAAAAAAACTTTATTATAATACTTATTATTATCACTTGTACCTATGCTGAAAACATGCATCTTTGGTAAGTTGACATAACATATCCATGAGTTTATTATTATTATTATTTTAAATCAGAAAAAATTGTATTTTGAGTATTTCGAGTTCCAATTGTTTTGTCCGCTTCAGTCGCAATCTGTGACTACCAAGTGAACTATTTTTGAAATAAAGTCATTACTATAAACAATTCAATTTACATATATCCCATGTAGTCTCTCATTTTAATGAGGTCATAAAATCTGCATGCGTAAAGAAAAAAATAACCAACAAATATTTAATACAAACTAGAATGCAACTACTTTAAAGGTCTTGCTTTAGAGACAACTGATTATGCAAAGCAAGATCAAAGCGTATGGACACAGGTTCCAAACACCTCAAATAATTATCGGTCCAACACAGGTAATAAAACACACGCACAGGGTGACACTAAAGGCTCCAGACGCCACAGCTGGTTCACATTGAAAGGAAGCAATGGGTGAGAAAGGAGGAGAGGAAAAAGAAAAACTCAAAAAGATAGGCCCTTGTTATGTCTCTCAGGGGACACTTTGCAGGCATTTTAGGGGTCCGGTACATCTAATGGCCTACAGACTATTCCTTTACCCCACAAACACTAACTGCACCATTTTACAGTTCCCAACTAATAAGGGCCAAATTAGATTGAAGCCATGTGTCTGTATGGCAGCTTGAATTACTAAGACATTGCTTATCTATGGAATAAACCAGTTTGGGTTCATTAGTTACTCAATGAGACCCAATAGTGATTTTATGGATGCAGGCCCGGTCCTGACAGCGGTTCGGCTATTTTTCATGGCTCCTCTCAGACGCTTTGTGTTGCTGACCGCACATCGTGGCCTCGTTTTTCATCGGGGAGTTATCATTGTCACAAGTCTGTCAGTGAATGCCTGAGCATGATGTTTTTATCAAGGAAACGTTACAGGACACAAGTGGAACAGTTTTAAATTCATAAGTTTTGGCTTGTGATATTACGATTATTTATGGGAAATGTCATAACTCAAATGCTGTGAAGATTCTTGAAATCGCTTGGCATCATTCTGTTTAACATCAGAATGAAGATATTGCAATCATCAAGAACTGCAGAAAGTCATTGCAGGAGTATGTGAGATGGTTGGTTCACCCTAAAATTCAAGTTCTGTCATCATTTTCTTGTTCAGTGTCATTTTATTTCTCTACGGCAGTGGTTTTCAATCCTGGTCCTGGGGACCCACCCCTCTGCACATTTTGTATGTCTCTCTTTTCTGACACACAGCGCAGTTCATGGATCTCTCTCCTAATGAGCTGATGATCTGAATCAGGTGTGTTAAATAAGGGAGACATGCAAAATGTGCAGAGCAGTGGGTCCCCAGGACCAGGATTGAAAACCACTGCTCTACGGGAAGAAAACAAGGGATTTTGAATGTCAGTGGGGTCCAAACAACATTAGGCTCCACTGGCTTTCACTGTGTGGGAACTTCACTTCTTTTTGTATTCCACAGAAAGTCATACAGTCTTAGAAGAACACGAGTAAATGCTGACAGTATTGTCATTTTTGGGTGAACTGTCCCTTTAAGTTCGCATTAAAGCGTTTTTTTTTTTTTTTTTAAACAGCCACAAGAATGACTTCAGGTTGCCAAGATGACCTGAAATAACATTTTAAGAAACCACATAATTCTGACATTACTTTTCAACAATTATGAAAGAAAAAAAACCTGACACGGAAAAAAGTGCATATTCAACCCAAACCCCCCTTTTTTTCTAAATAAATGGTTGACTACAGGAATCCCATTGTCCATTAGATGACAACTAGAGTACTGAAGTGAATGTGAGCAATGTTTGTCTATGCATAACCCACTGCCTCAAACGGTCTCGTTGCTAAAATTGTCTTTAGTACGTTGTCATGTGACTACCAGTATTATTTTAGCATAATTTATAAACAATTATAGTATCTATTAATATTATTAGGAATTTATTTTTAGTAACTTCAATTATATGCATTTAGAATTTTTTAGTAGTTTTCGTGTGCATGTTTTTTTTTCTATTTAATTTTAATTTGTCTAGTTCAGTGTTGGTATTAGTAATTATTTTAGTTCAACTTCAGCAAGTTTCAAGGCAATATTTCTAATCTTCATTTAAGCTTTTCATGTAACATTTTATTGTAGCTTTATTTCAATTAATGAAAATGACTGATGAAAATGGCATTGGTTAATGGTTGCTTACTAGCCCTCAAGTGGAAAAAAAAAACCCTCCCCCAAATCTCTGTAAGATCCCAAGATAGAGCTAGTATAGAAATGTTTTGTCCTTTTCATCAATTATATTCCTTTGATCAATCGTTCAAGTCTGTAACAAAACAACACAAGCTTAATGCGTGGGCTTCGGCGTTCATTCAAATCCTCAAGCTCATGAATGAGCAATAGCAATATTGATAAATCACTACTCATTTTTCTGGATCTGACCAGTTGAGAATCACAGTCTCTTAATGCTGTGCTGAAATGAACACCACATTTATTTCATCAGGTCTTCATGAGTGGATGTAATAGCTACCCAGACCGCTCAAACTCACATCCTGCTAACAGAGAAATGACACCTTTTTCCATAGTTGTCATTACTCTAACGGGTTCACAAAAGTATGCATGGCCCATCAATTACAGTTACCTGATGGACTGGAAACACGTGGAAGAACCAAACTGTCCCAGCATGTTCATTTATTGAGGGGCATCAAATAACTGACCAAATGGAAGCATTTTGTGTGTTGTTTTTTAACATAACCGTATAATAAAACAGGGAATGCAAACGAGACAGTGACAATATGCTCACAACTTGATATCAACGCAAAAAGGCATTGGTGAGAGCTCGCAGGCACTCGTGATGAGAGTGAAAGACACGATTAAACACTATTATAGCCGTAAAGGTAACTGGCACAACTGCCAATGATCGTGTAGTCCGTCCTCATCCACAGCTGAAGCTACGATTGGTCAAAGCTACTTAGTAGCGGTAGTGGTCCGCTTTGAAAGGACCGTCGCGGGGCAGACCCAAATATTTGGCTTGCTTCTCTGTGAGTTTAGTCAGTTTGACGCCCAGCTTGTCCAAGTGTGCGGCAGCCACCTCCTCATCCAGCTACACATGCACAAAACACATAATGAGGAAAACATATACATCTCATATATTCTGATAATCATCTGTTAAGCTTCTCTGCTTCGATTTGCATGCAAAACATCTGCATCTTGTTTTTAAGTAAGCTTGCAGACCTTTTACATCAGAAAATATTCATTGATAATGTGCATATTAACGGATAATACCCCCTGTATCTGCAATAAGAGTTTACATGAAGCTACTGTACCTTCTTTGGCAGGAAGTAAACACCCAGTGGGTATTTGCTGGTGTTGGTCCACAGCTCAATCTGGGCAAGGACCTGGTTGGTGAATGAGTTGCTCATCACAAAGCTCGGATGGCCCATGGCACAGCCCAGGTTCACCAGACGCCCCTCAGCCAAAACAATGATGTGACGGCCGCTTTTCATGTGATAACGGTCAACCTGTATAAAAGAGTGGAGAGTTAGTCAAAGTCAGATCAGAGTTGACATCATGTGTCAGAAAGCAGGGCTGTTTGGTGATGTCTGCCCAAAAGAAGAAGAAGAAGAAAAAAAAAAAAAAAAAAAAACAAAGGAAAA